TGCTTAGTAAGCCAGTATCGTAGCCCTCAAAGTGCTTATTGCAAGATGATATGCAGGAGCTCATGGTTGGCTTATAATAGTGAAAGCACTGTGGTCTAAAGAGGCAAGGGGGAGGAAAGGCTGGGCTTTTCCCAGGAGGGTCCTCTGTGAAGCCAGTGATTGTTGTCACTCATTCATCATCAGGATCTGCCACAGAAAGCCTGGAATGTCTTTAAGGACATTAGTAGAAAACAGAATCAAGACCACCAGCATGTTAGTCAGGAAAACTGTAAACCATGTCTGTCCCCAGATCATAGGAAAATGGGATATTTTTATCTTCTTCCCATGAGTGGTAAGTTTGGACCCCATCAAGTTGTCTGGACAGTCTTGTATTCCTTTATTTTCTTCATCTGTCAGTAGTCTTTCACAGTTGCCCAGCAATAGTGTACTCTAGGTCTGTTATTTATGTGAAACGGTAATACAACTCTATTTTTTTCATTCTTTATAGTTATGATTAGAAATGTCCTAGAAGCATGATTTTGATAATCATTATTTATTGAACGTCCACTGTACAAGGGAAGGATAGAGCAGAATTGAAAGATGGCATCCTTTCCCTTGAGAAGGTTAGAGAGATAAATACACTCCTGCAGAATGGATAAAACCATTACACTGAGTAAATAGAGTGTACTGAAATAGATAAACCAAGTAGTTAATTTCAGGGTCAATTCTGGAAGCTTTGGTAGTCCAGATTATCTCATCTGCCATCTGTCATTCTGTCTGTTCTTTTACAGTGCAACTGATGGGATTGGAAAAAAGGTGGAAACTTCTGTCACAGGGTATTTTTTATATTCCTGATCAAGAGTTGAATGTGGCTTTGCAAATTTTAAGAACTGAGAGGAATCACCTGTGGAAGGGGTTCTGTGTCACCTTAGTCCTCAGGGAGATGCTGGGATAAGATAGATCCTTTGGCTAGTAAAGCAACAAAAGCTAGAAACACTCCTCCCTGGAAGTCGGTGCTGTGGCTCACTTAACTTTGGATACATGCTGTTCACTCTTAAGTCCATCACATCTAGGACAGCTCTTTTCTCTGAAAGCTCCCATCCTGCCTCTTATAGTGTGGCTTTAGCTTCATGGTCAGGCACTGTGTTCTTTGAAATGAAAACTGAACTGGTCTCACTTCTCTGGTTGTTGCATCTTTCAGAGGCACAATCTCTTAGGCTTCCTTATTACAAATAAGGTAGCTCCTTTTCATGTGTACGTTTTTATGGTACCACTTCAGTCTACTTTAAAACTATTGATGACTCACTTGAATTTTCACTTCTTGGTGCCTATTGAGTTTGCTTGGATCAGCCCTCTGTTCTTCTCCACCTCATCTGTGAAGTCTCACATCTGCCGCCATGTCTTAGGGACCATTCTAAGCTGCCAAAATTATCTGCTTTTATTTATTTATTTTTTAATCTGCTTTTAGAACTTGAGGCCACTATGAGAAGCACCAAAAATTGGTACATGAGATTACATTTTAAAGGAGCCACACAATTTGGACCCAGCAGAGACATTGGGTTTTCCAGAAGGAGAGAGCTGGATTAGAGGTGCTAAAGACTGGCTCATTATTTTTGACAGGAAAATGCATACTTCAAGAGTGAGATCTTCTGATATGCTGGCAGTTGTGAATCACTAATTAATAGTTTAATAGTTAATTACTGATGTGTTTTAGGCCTGATATAGATAAATCGGTTTCTGCATCATCATGAAGAAAAAGGATAGAAGCATGAAGTCCTTTATGTCTTATTTTGGTGGGTATTTCATCTTACTACTTTGTTATGTGAAACTCATATTGGAAGACTATTTTAAATGAAATACCAACCAAAATTTATACTTACTAGCTTTGGATTTAAAAGTAAAAAAGAACCTTTACTTGAGAAAGGGGAATAAGATACAGGATTTTACTAATTGTTGAATCACTGGCAGTTTTATATGCATCTGTGTTATAATTTATGATTGGCTAGAAAACATTTGAACCAGAAGGAGCTTGTGATATTGTTAAGGCCAATGCTGGCCTCCTTGTTGTGGTCCTCAGACCAGCAGCATCAGCATCACCTGGAAGCTGGTTAAAAATACATATTTGTGGGTCTCCCCTTGGTCTCTGAATGAGTCTTTACAAGGTCTCTAAGTGATTCTGATCCTCGCTTAACACTTATGACTCACTGATCGAGACCAATAGTCATCAGACTTCCTTTTGGTCATAAGGACTGTCTGTTTGGAGTGAAGATATTTAGAAGTCCCGTCACTGAAAACATTCAGTTAATCTGATTAGTTTAGTAAGTGTTTGTAGTCTGGTTCACACTTCTTTGGATGTTCCTGGGTGGAGCTCCTAGTAACCCCTCTGGCTCAGGTGACCTCAGTACATAGATCATAATCTAGGTCCAGCTCCTCTGTGGCAGCTGAGCCCTGAGCAGGAAAGGAATTTACTTAAGTTCACTTAGACTATATTGCAAGATCAGAATGGGGAAACTCCCTCTGATGCCAAGGCTTCTGTAGATCAGATAAACCAATTCATGATCATTAACTCTATAAAAGCAATTTCTCATGGTTTTACTTCAATATTGTAGTTGAAATAACTTTTAAAAACTAGTTTTAAGAATTCAGGAACACATACCCATAAAATGAGATACTCCAGGATACTGATTTTGTTTTTAAGTTTTGAAAGGGAATCTTCTCATTCTAGAACCTATTGTTAGCCAAAAAAGTGGAAAGACTCTTCAGTCAGTTGAATTCTTTGAGTTCATACCTTTATTCATGATGCACCAAATAAGTTCTGTAAGTTCCCCCAAACACCTTGTTCAGCTCAGATGTGGTCTGGAGCTCTTACTTTATGAGCCAAGTGTATTATATGCTGGAAATGCTTATTAAGTGTGGTGTGTGATTCCAGGTCACAAATTAAGATGAAGAAAGAGCTGGTTTTTGCTTCGTGGTAACACAGCATACTAAAATGCTCCATATGGTGGAAGCGTAATGGTGCCTGTTCAGTTCTGTAGAAATTAGCTGTTTGACATCTGTTTTGAACCCCTAGTGTGTGCTAGAATTATGTTTTTCCAAGGCATTAGAGCTGAGGGCATAATAAATCCTTGATGAGAATTTCATGCTACTCAAATGTGGGATACGATACTTTATATCCCTCTTACTTTTGCTCATTGGGAAAAGGCAGCTGTTGGATATCAGAGTGTATGGTAAGCTGTTGGAATCGTGTCTTGACTTGACTTACTTCAGATCCAAATCCCAGAGAAGCAAACTGAGTGAGTCTATTTGACTTGCAGCTCATCTCCTGCTGGTTGGTTTATCATTACATCTTCTGTGTTTGCCAGCTTTTGGTTACTATAAAAAAAAATACCTGAGATAATCAACTTACAAGGAAGAAGGTTTATTTCAGCTCGCCGTTTGGGAGATTTCAGTGTATAGTAGGTTAACTCTGTTGTTTTGGGCCTGTGGTGATACAAAACATCAGGCTTCAGAATTCATGGTAGACCAAAGATGGACAGAAAACATGAAGGGCCAGGAAGCAAAGAAGGGAGGAAGAAGGCAGGCTCAGTTCTCATTATCTCCTTTCAGGGCATGCCCTCAGTGATCTAAAGACCTCCTTCTAGACCCCACTTCTTAATGGCTCTTCTAGCTCACAATAGCTCCAAGCTGAGTATTTAGACTTTAACACAAGCACCTTTTCAGGACACTTAAGGTCCAAACTATAGCACCTAATAGAAAGCCAACAGCTTTTTAGCTCAAAGAACCTCCTTGATCTGTTTAGCAACTCCTCTGTCCTATCTTCACAATTCTTCAGTTCCCTACAGAGCAAAGTAGCCAAGCTTTCTTCCCCATGGGCTTCCTGTTTCTGCCTACCATCTCAGGTTTGCTGATAAAGGCCAACTTGTTTAGTGACTTGGGTAACACATAGGTTTGAGGAGTTGCAGCCACAGGTCTGCCCAGGGCTATTCAAGTTTCTGTTCCCTGCTGTCTTGTGTTATCTTTGTGGCTGCAGAAAAGTTGGAGGTTAAATGATGGCCTCATCAGGTGCAGTACCCCGCCCCGGCCGCCCCCGGCCGCCCCCGCCACCCCGTGGTGGAAATCATGCTTAAAGAGCGAACGCTGTGATCCATGCAGAGGCTTACCAACTCAGAATTTAAAACAATCCGTCCAGTTGTTTTTTCCATGCTGTTGAATTGCCTGCTCTTACACTCCAATTAAATACTTCATCATAATTAACATTGCTGTGCTTTATACTCATATATTTTTAGTAGTTGCTCTTCCTGGAGGAGGTGAGGAATCATGAAATCTGTACCACCTTCTTCATCCCTTGTGGAAACCACCCCTGTCAGGCAGGGGCTGCTTTTCACTACCCTTTTGGGCTATGCTTCTGCATAGTCCAGCTACTGCCTACCCCTGGAACTCCCTACTCCAGATCCTTCTGCCCTGGCTTCCTTCAAACACGCTTTTACCTCTAGGTAGAGATGAAGAAATCTCTCTTCTTTCCTCTTACTCTGGCCCTCTTCCTGCCCTTTCTCATGCCCTGCCAATTTTCTTTCCCTTCTATAAAAGCAGATTTTACAGAAAATACCCGTCAGCCCATTATACATGGTGTATAGCAAAGCACAAATGGGGCCCCTACTTGTGCTCTGATTTATTGGGAAGACATTACCAAAGACCTCTGTGACTAAGCTTAACTGCATTTGTCATCAGCAGGGCGCGCACATCACGAAGGGTCTGCTCACATGGCTCTGTTGAGCAGGACGATTGCAAATAGGCCACATTTTAAGTTAGTTTGGAGGCATGTATTTCATCTGTGAAGTTGGCAAACACTTGAAAGCCACAAGCTACTGTTTTCCGAGAGCTTCTTTGCACATGAGCGAAAAGCATACGTACTGGATTTGGAGATTGTCCAATAACTGCCCTTTAATGCAGCAGAATGTGGACTACAGCTGTTTCCTCTGGAAGGATGTATATCCTCACCATTCTTCTCTCTTCTCTCCTAGAGTGTCTCCACTGCAGAAGTCTGAGATAGTGGATGTGGTGAAGAAGCGGGTGAAGGCCATCACCCTGGCCATCGGGGATGGTGCCAATGACGTTGGGATGATCCAGACTGCCCACGTGGGTGTGGGGATCAGCGGGAACGAGGGCATGCAGGCCACCAACAACTCAGATTATGCCATCGCACAGGTCAGCCACAGGGTAATCAGCTCTCCTGCCCTGTTGACACCAACAGCAGCTGACATGAGAGCCTGCTGCTTGACCTTCAGCCCAACCCCAAGAACCCTACCCATCTTTTGAGGCACCATCTAGATGAATGACCAGTATATTCAGGTTTCTCTGTGGCTTTGTTCTTGTGCGTTTCTGAGGCCCCTTCTTGATGGTTAGGTTTCCTTTGGCTACCCATGATGCTGGCCCCACTTCTCTGTCATTTAGGTGACATACTTTCCCTGACAGATAGGCCTCTGGTCCTGCTCAAAATCACCTCTCACCCTGCACTACTGTTTCTGCTGCATGGGCTTTCTCATATATGTCCCCTGCTGAAGAACAGCTGTGCTTGTAACACCCTTTCTCTAACATGGCCTCCAGGCATTTCTCCTCTTTCAGAATGTGGTGGCATGCACTGGTCAGGCATGTAAGGTCAGGGAAAAACAGTGATTTACAGTTGCCCCACTCTCATGACTGGAGCACTGCACAGAACCACAGCAGAGAGATGAATTGCTGAGAGCACGGGCTGGGTTGATGATCCCATGGTCTGTAACAAACAACCTCCTGCAGTCAAGCCAACTTCATTTCATTCCCCTCTGAACTGAGCATTGCATATGGAGGCTCCTGATGTGTTTGTGGTTATTACACAGGTGGCCTGAGGATTAAAGAAATGGCCACTCCTAATGACAGTCACAAGGTGAAGAAGAGTCAACCTTGTGACCCCTATGAGACATATCTGGGTCATCTGGTCTGCTGGATTATCCAGAAACCTAAATGTCCCTGGGAACACAGAACATTTCCTCCTGTGTCTAGATCACAGCAGCTTGTGGGTAAATATCTGCTCTTGCTGCTGAGCAAGAGCTCCCCCTGATTCCTGGGCTTTGGAAGAATGTGTTAACCTTAACCACATGATCAGGGGAATAGTGGCTTTGTCTCCCTTTAAGCTGAAATTAGGGGCTGCCCATAAAACTCAAGCAAATTTCCTACATCTCCAGGGCTTGTGGGCTGGTCATCTGCAGCTTTGGGACTTCCCTCCCTAAAGGGGGGGCTCTGTGTTAGATCATATCTGACGTTCTCGCCAAACCTGAGTTTCTGCAAACACAGGGAGGAATTACAAAATCCACATGGTTCTGAAAAGTACATGAACTCAATCTTGTTCCTTGATTAATTTCAAATAACTCCTCAAATGAATTCCTGAAGCAGATAGAAGGAATTGTGTTTATATAGGGGAAAGAACTGGTGTTCCTTTGTATCAGGTGACCTGCCTCAGGTCCAAGCACACATTCATGGTCATAGACCATCAGACCCTGCGTGAACTAGGGGCCACCATGCACACCTGCCCATTTACTTTCCAGAGTCAACTGAGCAGGGGCCTGTGGGAATCGCACTTCCTGTACACTGTCAGCAACTCAGGATGTTATACACGCAGCATTATTAAATACTTGAGTTATAACATCATACTGCTGGAAAGGACCTTAAGAGATTTCCTAGGAGTTCCAGGCAAATATTTGTCTGTCTTTTTCTTTGAAATGTCTAGGGAAGGGAGATTCTGTGACCTGCTTTATTGAAACTGTGTATTCATAGGATGTAGACTATGGAGCGATTGCTCTTGTCAAATTGAACCCATCAGAGAAGGGTGGGGCAAGGTGCAGGGCTGCAAAAGTGCATTTGGGGGTTTCCTTTTCCCTCCAGGGGATAGTCGTTTCTGGCAAAGGAACCAAAGAGGCCGCATGTGTCTGTGTGGCCTAGTTTCTCTTGTCGACCATCCTGCTCATCGTTAGGCTGAATGCTGTTATTTCTGGGCTGAGTTTGTGCCTCCCTTACCCCTTTTCCATCTAATACAGTGCTGCTTGTTCCTTAATTACCATACCAGAATAGCCACAATTAAATGAATGCTTCTGACCCATTGAAATGACAAACATCTCTGCTTGAAGTCAATACTGCATGCTTTTATCTATTTTTGTTTTCATTTTAATGTGGTCATTTTCTAATGCGTTTTTGAGGAAGTATTTTCTCTGATGAAGAAAAAGACTTATGCTCAGGAAAGTAGTGAAGTGGGAAGAACTCTGGTTCCATTTCTTTGCTGCCTGCCTCATGCTTTTCCACACAGAGGGAGCTGCTCAGGGCTGATGGCTTCCCGGCTGTGGCAATGTGGACCTTGTGGTCTAACAGTGGCCTGCAGCCCTCGGCTTCATGTCCTTCACTGGAGATAATCACGCCTGCCTCTGCCTTCTTAATGTCTCCTGAATGACCTCACAAAAACAGCATCTTGATTTAGGATCTGTACTATTTTTTCCTGAAAACAAATCATGACCATGCTCAGGCTGAGGCCTTCAGGATGACTCAGGCAGATGTTCTATGTGCCATTGAAACCTAACACCAGGGAGTCCAGTTGAGCACAAACTTCCTTTTTATTTCTTTTGCAGTTGTTTTATGATTCCCCATTCCCCTGTGGAATTCTTAATGAGCTTTTATGGGGAGTTTTATTTCTCCACATGCACCTACTGCCATCTTGAAGTTGCCCTTAAGATTTGGAAATATATGGGTGGAATGGCCACACCTTCCCTGATCTTTTGAAGAAGTCATTGACATGTGACTAGGATGTAATCGTCTTTGGAACTAATGAAAAATATTATTATATAATTTCAGAAAAGAAGCATTTTCTGAAGCATATTTTTAGTCAGGGTCTTTCTTTTCTACAGATAAATTTAATTTCAAAAGTCATCTGAACTTAATAGGAAACTTACAATAGCAAAAGAATTTACAATGTTCTGGGATGTTCTTAATGTAGCCTGACTGTTTCTATGAGTAGCATTATACAGTTGAAATTTATGGATTGCTCAGGAGCAGGAACAGGGCCTTCTGACATTGTAACCTAGAGTAGAATAATTAAAGTTTTTTCATTCAAGGCCATCTATCTTAGTCTGTTTCCATCACTGTAGCAAAATACCCTAGGCTGTGCACCTCACATTACTCCCCATTCAGAACTACTTAGCTGCCCCACGACTGCCCAACCCTGGCAAAAAAGACTCTGTGCTAGTTGGTGGCAACAAAGGCCAGCAGGGCCAGTGTAGAAGTGGAAGCAGTGTGTGTGTGTGTCTTTGTGAATCTGGGCATGTGTATACCTATGTGCCTATTGTGTCTGTTTGTCTATGTGTGTCTCTAAGTGTGTGTCTGAAAGTACACCTGTGTCTCTGCATCTGTACATATCTATCCCATGTGCCTCTGTGTGTGTGTCTCTGTTAATTGCTTTTAACTTAAAAGTGGACAGTTGGAACAGTTTGTGTGTGCATATGTGTCCCTTTTTTAAAGAAGGCACTATTGCATGAGCATTGCTGTCCCTCATTCCTGTTGTCACATAAGATCTGTGACTGCGTTGTGTGTTGTTATCTGACTCCCACCATACGTTGCTTCTAGTTCAGGTGGTCACTTTCTTTTAATAATTAAGACCCTCAGCAGCACTGGCTGAAACAGAGCTCCATGCTAGTCACAGTGAGAAGTCCAGCAGCACGTTTGGGAAAAGTGATTATCAAGTGACTTTCAAAGATTTTTCTTGTTTTCTTTTCATGTGGCTTGAAGGCCCCCTTTAGGGAGTGGTTTTCTCCGAGTTCCTCTGCCTTCCTCATCAGTTTTCTGCTCTTCAGAATATTTTATGCCTTTTATTTCTGAATGACAGGCTCTTTTTGAACTTTGTTACTTTCTCTTGTCAGTTTTCCTACTTGGAGAAGCTGCTCTTGGTTCATGGGGCTTGGAGCTACAACCGGGTGACCAAGTGCATCCTGTACTGCTTCTACAAGAACGTGGTCCTCTATATCATCGAGGTAAGGAAGAGGTGTGCTTTTCCTTGAGGTGACAGGCCTTTTCTGAGGACATTCTTCCATGTTAGGAAAGGGTTTGTGAATGTAAGAGAAGAGATCCCACTGGGACTTATTCAGACCTGGTGTGCACATCACCTCCCTGGGGGCTGTGCCATTCGGGTCTAGAGCCTGTGCTGAACACCAGAGCCAGGTGCCTGCAGCCTTTCTGTCCTGCCCAGCCTTGCCCTTCTTTCGTGTTTTCCCCCTCCCTTACCTCTGCTTTTCCAAGATGCTGATGCAGTTACAAGTGAAATGCATGCTTGCTCCAGGGCTGGGCCCAGAAGAAGTGGCGAAGGCACGTGGAACCGGTCCACCCTTCTTCCTTTTTAGGAATAGCTCTGCTATCAAGGTACAGCTTTGGAGACCATAATGATGAATGGATTTTCAAATGTAGTTATAAAAGATAAAGCAGAGCAGTTGCTCTATGGAGGAATAAAAAGCATTATTAGTTGTTCATAGTGTTTTAATATCCCTTTCTATTATGATCTGATTTATCAGCGCTTGGCAAAAATAATAACCAAGGCAGAGATCAACTTTTTTCTAATGCAGTCTCTTAAAATTCTTAGCTCAGATAATTTAACTGTGGCTTGCTAATTAGCTCTTACTAACCACTTCTTTAACAGCTTGTTTACTCTTAATGAGTCAGTCAGATCAAACACACAGGTTCGCGTCACTCATTTGGTAGCTAATATGAAAGAGTGATTTTCCTAAGTTGTGCAGGTTGTTCACTGAACATTACCCAGGCAAATGTGTACATGGGGCAGAAACACAGCTTGTGCTTCTCAATCCCTCAGTCCCCCCGGAGCCCACCTGGAAACAATCCTGCATTTTTCTAGTTTGCACAAAGTATGGTCTCTTTGCCAAACAGTCTACTGAGGGTTTGGCTGCATCAAGCTCCTGGTGGGCTGGGAGCAACCTTGATTTTTATAGACTCTTTTAGGTGATCAGAGACATCTGGTTAAAGTTCTCAGAGCTGTCCCATTCTTCTTGTTCTTGAATCCTTTATGTGAATAAACAGGTAAGTGATTTCTCTAGGAAGAAAATAGGCAATGGGACCTTAAGAGATTTGGAGATGTCGTTGGTGATCTTATTCAATATAGAGAGGTTAAAATCATAAGTTCAGAAATTGTTCATAATTTGTCTTCAATTTGTGCTGTAATATTCAAGTCTAGCTCTTTCTGGTAAAGACTTACAGGTGTTAGTGTAAAGGGTTTAGAGTCAGTATCTTCTTCCTGCTATCATTTTTACAATTCTCTTTTGGCACTTATATCCATCCCCCTCCTCTTGCCATGGTTTTTGCATCCATGATAGGAGTCACTCCTAAACGTCACTTGGGGTCATAGATAAAAGTGTAAAGGGCTATTAAGGTCCTGATTCCTAGGCACCATCTCAACTTTCCCAGCATTTTATGCTTCTATAGCTGTTGGCTTTCCAAGGTTTCTTACTAATCTGGTTTTCCTCACCATCAGCAGATTACAGATAGTCTAGACTTCTTGTCGAGACTTCTGCGTGGAGCTCCCAGTCCTCCTGCTCTCAGAACATCCCTTGGGGGCCCTTCTTAGTCATTGACACCTACTATCTTCCTTTTTTTTTTTAACTTGAAGTGAGCTAAGGCTGAGGAGAGGACAGTTTTTAGTCTGTCTGAAAAGTGCTATTTGGAATGAGGCCCTGAAAGTGCCACGTGAGTGTCTCAGATTAATTTTTTGATTATAGCTGAATAACTGTTATTAAATAGTCTTCTGTAGATGGCCTTTCCAGACATTCTTTATAAAGTTAAAGATGCAGAAAGTCTCCACTGCTCTGTGTCTAACTTTCTATTTAGTATTTTTAGGAGCTGTTAATTGGAAAACCAAGAAATGAGACCCTTGACTGAGCCCATGGTCAGAGTCTGATGCCTCCAAATTACTTCCTTGCATCAGCGTGCACTTAACATATAATTTTAAAATAGGAAGATACTACTTGTGTGCTATTTTAGTGTGTTTTGAACTGCAAGATCAAAGATTGTTGTAAGTTGATTTGCTCATTTGTAAAAAAAAAAATGCCAAAGGTAGCCTTATAATTATTTAAGTGAGACTAAGTTAAACAATGTTACTTGCTTCTCTTAAATGGTTTTCTTATAACTCAAGGAAAGACCCTTTGCAATAGCCAGTATGTTTTCATCTGATATGTGTAATACCAGTCAGTTAGAAATACAGCCTAAAGCAATTTGGCAAATTGAAACACACACGTGTGCATGCACACATGCACTTTGTGGTCTCAGCTATTATTATGAGTATCACTATATGATTTGAATTATCAGCAAAGACTGTGGTGAAGAAGAACTGCAAGCCTGTGACATAACATGATCTACGCATATGGTGTCCTAACCTAGGGAAGTGGGTCTCTCTCTCCAGGGGACACATGCCTGTATTTTCATTGCCACGTGGAACAAATCAGAAGTTCCCTCCACTTACCCTGTTGCGTGTCATTTGTCCTGACCTTTTCTATGCAGTCACAGACAGATAGAGGTTTAGTTAAATGCCATCATGGTGATGGTGTGCAATTCATGCTTCACTTAAAAGCACAAACTTCCGAGACCATTCCCCACTACTATTTGTGGATCCAGGGCATGACCTCACCGTGTGATTGTGGGATAACAGCTTTCCCTCTATTAAGGCCACAAATAGTCCACCAAAATGTGCCTCGAATGTAATACATGCTCAATTTAGGTATTTTTATCTGAATAGCAGGTTCTTTGTTGCTGACAGGTTTTACTTTGGTGCTTGTTGAATATGTCACATAACATTTATTCAGGCCAAAGTAATCATTGGTTCAAGTGATTGGAAGAATAAGAACAAAATGTAGAACCTGTGGTTTCGCGGTGGCCCCAGTTACAGGTAAAACTGCAAACACACAGCCTCTGCCTGTTTCCCTCCTGGTGCTGCTTTAATGCAGTGCTTTTTACCCAGACATTGCCAAAGCACTGATGGCACTTTCCAGCCATCTCTGGTGCTGCAGCACACATTGATCAGGTCTAGGGTCTTGCCCAGGGTCTGGAAGAGATGATACAGACACGTGCATGAGTGTCTTGCTCTCCTCATGACCTCTAATAAAATGCTGCCCCTCCACGGCTGGGGCCCAGTTGTCACCGACTTCATCTTCCATCACATCCCCTTCCTTTGTTTCTTGCCAGTGCTATTGAAGTATAATTAACATACAGCATAGCAGGTAACATAGTACATACACATAGCATAGTGTATAGTTTCATGAATTTAAACTAGACTTCTATTATTAGAGATACAATAGCAATTTTCTGTCAGCCTCCCATGGATGACAAGAGTGCTGTCTGTCTGATTTTTCAAACCTCTTTGATTTTGACAGGGGGGCAAACTTGCTTTTAATGCAAAGTTGGGATAAATAGGTTAGGGAAGGATACCTATGAAATTTTGAAGTCCTGATGTGACTTCTGTGTGGCATCTCCTGAAGAGGAGGCTGACAGTGAGTTCTTTCAGGTTCCTATACTACATAATAAGCTAGGAGTTTATTCAGGGTTTTCTAAGTGGAATACAGCTCGAGAGCCTGGTAGCATCAACATTTTAAGCATTTTCAAAGTTCATATTTTTCCATCTACTTTTTAAAACCTTTGGAAAAGTTTTTTTTAAGAGATAAAAATTTTAGTGATAGTAAATTTTAAATAGAAAATCAATAGAAATATTACTTGAATTTAACCTGTATTGGAAAAGATTATGGTATGGATCTCTTATAAACCTTGGCAAATATAAGAAAGGTACACCAAATTGCCTTTAAAATAGAGATGAAACTTCAAAACCATCGTGGCAATGAGCTGCCCATCCTAACATGGAAAATGAGCATAATGTATAGGAACTGGTGTGAAACATGGGAGTTAGATACGACTTAAGAGTCTTCACTTGTTTTTGGCAATCTAAGAAACTCTAGTGTTTTGGGGGGGTCACTAAACTGGTATGGGGTAAAGGCCAGGAAATGGGGTGCATACTTAGCATAGAGGTCTGGAAAAATTACTGAATGAGAGAGAGAGATTCTAAGATCATAGCAACTCAGTAACTAAATGAAACCTAGCCAACAGAATTCAGTTGCTAGCTAGTGAGAACTTGTGGATATCTGACTAGCCTAAAATAAGCAAACAAACAAACAAAAAACCCTCTTCTTTACAATACTTCAGGATATAAGAAAAGGCTTACTAGCTTTTGTTATCTGTGTCTTCAAATTTAATAAAATGAATTATAGTTTATGTACAAATTGCCATTCTAATGTACTCAGTACATGAGTACTTTGAATTTTTTAATCTTTTAAAACATAGACATAGTCCCTGTAAAGACACTGAGGGTAGTTGTGCTTTAAATGTTAGATTCCATGATAAAAAAGTTTATCCAGTGACTCTTCCCCTTAGTTAAAGATACCTCAAAAACTGTGTTTCACTCTTGACACACAAGAAATCTCATTATGACAAAATTCCTGATAGCTAAGCTTCCTCTTTCAGTCTGTCTGCCTTGGCAAAGGTGGCTTTACATTTCCTAATATGGTTCGAGGGGCTGGTTGTGAGCTTAATGTTCTCATGTTAACAGGAAAAGGCAAACTGAAGATAGCAGTCATATGGGCCTTCCTGTAAAGGCTGTGGCCTCAACAAGCATGCAGGCCACTGGCTTCAAATAAAAGCTTTTTAATTGAGTGTTGACCCTTGCTCTGCGTCAAACCAAAGCTAAAACCAGGGGAACCAGGTTTTAGCCCTGCGAATTTCCTTATCTACTGAGGGGTGGGGAGAGGCAAGTAGCGCGTAAGTGTCCTGATGGCCATATGAGCAGGGAACTCTGTGCATGTACAGGCCTGGTGCCAACCCCCTCCAGAGAGCAACCCAGCTTGTAGGGCCTACAAAATGGTTCCCATTTTGTGCTGATAATTGTTGAACAGTAATTACAGTTTTTAAATGTTGCTGGGGAAACTTCTCT